AGAACCCTAAAATTAACCAAAATTCTTCCCCCACAAATAACACTACAGCAATATTCCACTCACAGGTATCAATTTCTGACCTAGTTTGTTTCCTGTTACTATGGGGGGGAAAAAACCTTAAACAAAAACAACCTACCTGTGTATTTGTGCATATGCACATGTGTACATGTGTGCCGTGAGTGTGCGTGTGCGTGTGCAGTGTGTGTGTGTGTGTGTGTGTGTGTGTGTGTGTGTGATCACTGAAAGAAGCCAGACCAAGTACTGTAGACAGGAACCGAGCGGATGGAATGGAATGAGAGACCATGGAGGAATACTGCTTATTGGGAAGACTTTATCTTGTTTTCTTACAGAACCCAGGATCACTTGCCCAGGGATGGGATGGTCCATGCTAGTCTGCCCTCCCCCAATCATTCATTAAGATAACTTCTCACAGACACAGTCACAGGCCAATGTGATGGAACCCATTCCTCAGTTTCTGTTTCCTCTTCCAAGGTGTCTCTTGGAACACGAAGTAACACACTGGTGTTGTCCTGCTACTGAAACCAGTTAAGGATTCCATGAAAAATGAAAATGACAAACTAATGTTCATGGTTAAATATTTACAAAAAATGTGTAAACCAAATTCAAAATCACATGAAATTGTTTGCTCACCACAAGTGGGCTTTATTGTAGAGGTGAAGGTGTGGTTCAACATACATAAATCAATATATATTGTAAAAAATATAAATGAACTCAAGCGAAGAAAGGAAGAAATCATAGGATTTTATTTTTCGTTTCTCTCTATATATCTTTGTTTTTCTGTTGGTTGGCTTGGTTGGTTTTGTTTGTTTGTTTGAAACAGGGTTTCTCTATGTATCAGCCTTTAACTCACAGAGATCAGCCTGTTTCTGCCTCCCAAGGGCTGGAATTAAAAGCATGCACCACTACTGCCCAGATCATAGGATTTTCTTAATAGATATAAAAATAGATTTTGACAAAAAAAAAAACCTCAACACCCTTCATGATAAAATTCTTCAAACAGGAAGAAATAGATCTGAACGTAATAAAGGATGTATAAAGAGACATTTAAAAAGATATAGAGAGAGAGAATAGATAAATAAGAAGATAAATAAAAGAGATATGAGTAGTAATGAGAAGTCAAAGTCTCCTTATTTGCAGGGGACATGATCATGATTTGACAGAGCTCAATACTCTGCCAGAAAACACAAAGAACAGAACAGTAAATACAATTACAATGAAGGAGTCAAAATTAAAATAAAAAATCAGTGGCCTTCCCCTATACAACTGGCAATCATTTTGAGAAATAAATCCATGAAATAATCTTATCATCGATACCTTGAGAAAACAATAACCTTGTGATTCACTTAATAGTGGAAGGGAGAGACGTCTACAACGAAAAGATCAAACTTTAAAGAAACGGAGAAACTAAAGAAAAGCCAAACATGGCTAAGAATATCAATAATAAGTACTGAGAAAATGTCCATTATACAAAAGCAAAAGCAAACATCCAATATTCAAAGCAAATCATTGAATATATAGATTCAGCTCAGTCTGTTAAAACTGCGATGTCGTTCCTCACTTATGTAGATAAAACCAATGTTAAATCCTTAGGAAGCACAAAAGACCCTGCATAGCTAAATCAATCCTAGAAAAAAGAATACTCCTCAATGAATCCCCATGCTACATTCTGTATAATGCAGAGCCATACAATTGAAACAAGCATAAAGCAGTCTTAAAAAACAGACATGTAGATAAAAGTATTCAAAGTATTGGAATTGAAGCCATGAAAATACGTCCATGTGATTCCGTCCCCTTGATTTTAGACAAACACCCCAGAATCATACGTTAGAGGAAAGACAGTGAGAGAGGAGGGAGATCTGACTTTCTACCTCCCCACCCCCTACTCTCCTCCCCCCCCCCCACATCATTTGTTGGTATTGAAAGGAACTGTCTGCCCCCTGATAGCCTGGTGCCCGCTTCACTTGGTTTATCAATCAGGGGCAATGGGAACTGCAGGAAAATTCCTGGGCACTGCCAGAATTTACACCAGCAGCTGGGATGCCCTCCTAACCTCTCTCGAAAACTCAGAGCCCTGCAGCTTCAGCCTAGCCTGAAATGCTCAAATCCCCAAGAACATCACTCCAGTATTGCTGGTAGCAATAGAAGCCAGGGGCTGATGGGGGATAAAAACCAGCTAGCAGAAGTGGGCTGCTAGGTGCGGATCTTTGGATGTTATACTGTAGTTTTCTATGGTCGTAGAACTAAGGCTTCTTCCCTTCTAAGGACATTTCCTAGTTCCCTCTCCTGCCCCTCCTCTCTCTTCCTCTTTGCCCTCCTGCCCTCTTCTCCCTCCTTCTGCCGTCCCTCCCACACCTCCCTCTGTCCCTTCCTTCCTCCTTGCCTCGTTTACATTTTTGGGAAAGGTCTTGCCCCATAGTCAGACTGCCCTGAAGCTTGCTGCCAGGATCACTGTGAACTCCAGATTCCTCCCTTGGACTCTCTGTTCCTGGGATTTCAGCTGCACCCACCTGCCTGACTTAACTTTGTTTTGTTTCTTTCAGTTGTTTGATTGGGAACAGCTTTCTCTCTTTTAAGGGCTGTCATGCGACCTTCTCTACTTCAAGGGGCAACTGAGAGCCTCTCATGTGGCCTCCCTTTTTCCACTCTCAGGCTTGTCTCACGTGTCTAAGTGGAGAAAACTTCTTGGTTTAAGGGATCATGTGATTTGTTAAGCTAACCCATCTAGTCACTTTGTCTGAAGGCCCGTGTTTGAATAATTCATTCCACCTACAAAATTTCTTCACCGAGGACTAAGATTGTTCTTTGACTAGACTGTATGAGTCTCCCAGTAACTGGGATTCTTGAGGAGCCATCTTGAAATTCTGCTTCCTACAAGGGTTTGTCTTTGTTTTGCCAGCAGTTGTGAGACTGTTGTGGACTGCTTGCTGTTCACTGAGATGTTAGAGTGTGGGTTTGTGTCGTTTGTGTCTTCTGCCAGTTTGACTCGAAGCCACTCTCAATCTCTTTCAGCTCCCCCGTCACTTCTCCTCTCTTGTGCTCCTGAGAGACATGAACCATGAACAGTGGACCATGGACAAAAGCATGTCTCATATTTTGTTACTTTTTACTTTAATTCTTTCTCTGATTCTTTTGAGATAAGTTTTATTGGCACACCTTTCCTGCCTTCATGTTTTTACTAAAACCACTGAACAAACCCTTAATTTTATGGTTTCTTTATATTCTTTCTTATTAAGAAAAAATATGGGATTTCAGAAGCCAGACAGGCAAAAAGCTTTTTTGTATATTGATAAAAAAAATTCTGTTTTTGAAAATTTGGAGCATACCTGACTGGATGGGAGGGAGGCTAAGGTCCATCAAATTCCTTGTAAGTTCTCTGTAGTTCCTAGCAGAGATGGAGGAGGAGCTTGTGAAATGAACTTGAGATTGTAAATGGTGAGTTGGTGTTTCCAAGACACACATGTGGGATCGTCTCTTCAGCTGCTTTGCAACCTCCTTAGCCCTCTTCCATCCATGGTCCCAAATGCCATCTCAAGTACTAGGGACAGGTCCTGATTCCATCACTAGGAGTCCCACAAATCCAAGCTACACAAACTGTCACACATATGCAGAGGACCTAGCAAGGACCTATGCTTGCTTTTGTCTGTTGGACCAAAGTCTTTGAGCTCCCAGGAACTCAGCTGTCTCTGTAGGTTCCCCATCAAGACTTTGATACGCCCTGGCTCTATAATCCCTCCTCCCCCTCTTCAATAGGACTCCCAGAGGTAGGCCAAGTGCTTAGCTGTGGATCTATGCATCTGCTTCCATCCTTTACTGGATGAAGTTTCTCTAGTGACAGCTAGGGTAGTCATTAATCTCATTACAGTAGATGGCCAGTTCAGGCACCCTCTCCACTATTGCTGGTTTTAGCTGGGGTCATGCTTGTGGATTCCTGAGTTTCCTGGGCATCAGATTTCTCCCTAACCCAAATGTGACCACCCATCAAGATATCTCTTTTCATTACACTTCCCTTCCATCCTACCCCAACCTGCCCATCCTGATCACTCATGTTCTCATACTCCCATTCCCCATTTCCTCCACCACCACCCCCAGATTGCCTAGGAGATCTCTTATCCCTACAGAGCGAAATCCATGTATCTCTCTTTAAGCCCTCCTTGTTACTTAGCCTCTCTGTAGCTGTGAATTACAGCCTGGTTATCCTTTGTTTTATAGCTAATATCCACTTTTGAGTGAGTACATAGCATGTTTTTTTTTTTTCTTTCTGATATGGGTTACCTCACTCAGAATATTTTTTTTCTAGTTTCATCCATTTGCCTGCAAATTTCATTATGGCATTGTTTTTCTGCAGCTAAGAAATACTCCACTGTGTCAATGAACCACATTTTCTTTATTCATTCTTCATTCGTGGGGCATCTAGGTTGTTTTCAGGTTCTGGCTATTACACATAAGACTGCTGTGAACAGAGCTGAGCAGCTGTCCTTTGGGTATGACTGAGTACCTTTTGGGTATGTGCCCAAGATTGCTAGAGCTGGATCTTAATAACCTATGGTGTAGGTGTTAGCCTCAAGGCTGAAAATGAACATTACCTAATATTTTATCTTTTTAAAACTCTTATTACTACTCCTTGCAAAATGGCAAGACAACAAAGGGATCACTTGGTCCTTATTTTTGGTGTGCTCTCCTTAGGATCATAATGCTTCTGCTCTCCTGGTGTTATGTGGTGAAGGAGGAGGCCCTACTCTCTTATGACTTCGTCATTGCTGCCGCTTTATTAGTCTTTTTGTAGTAAATTCTTTCCACAAAGCTATGCAATTGCATAACCAGTTTCAACTTGATCTGAGAAGTGAATGTCATGGCACTGTTGCTAAAGCCGTCATGTCGTTTTACCTCAGAGAGTTCACCTACCTTTGTCTCACTGCTCTGTAGTCTATATATGAGATGCTGTTGACTATCATGACACACAGGTTTGGAAAATTTTTATGATGGGGTGCAGAACTCTGTGCTTCGGATTCTTTTGTGTTCTATTTGCTTACTGTGTTTATACACCTGTTCCAGAGAATATTGAAGAACCCTGGAAAGTGAGATTCATGGATGCTCTCATAAAAACGATATCATTTGTGGTAAAATATTTTTTTTTACTGGGGGAACTGGGATACCGTGTTATAAGTATATTTGAAACTTCTTTTAATTCAAAGTGTCTGAAAGAGATTTCTGTTTTCTTTTTTTGTTTCTGTTTTTGGTATTTGGTTGGTTGGTTGATTCCATTTGGTTTTGGATTGAGTTTTAGTTTTGGTTTTCAAGATAAGGTTTCTCTGTGTGACCCTGTTTGTCATAGAACTTACTGTGTAGACCAGACTTGCCTTGAACTCAGAGATCTGTTTTCCTCTGTATCCTGAATGCTGGTATAAAGGCATTCACCACCACCTGGCTTTCCTTATGATATGTAAATCAGATAATATTGATGTGTAATTAATCACTAGAGTGTCTAACTGATTACCTACTGACACAGGGACATACAATGTTTACTAAACCGGTCCATGCAATGACCATATATCAACATCAGCATAAAAGATATAGTATTATCTACAAAGAATATTTAGAAATTGTCAGGAAGTTTGGATATGTTTAATCTTCTCAGTAATACCCAGGCTCATACAGTCCTTGAAAACTAACTCATTTATGTCCGTTAAGTTTAAACTTTTGATGCATTTAATCATTTGTTGTTCTAGTGATTTTCTTTTTAAAGGTGGTTCTCAAACTTTTTGTTTACAGAAAATTTGCATATTCTTTGCATTACTGAGGCTTCCAAATAAATTTTTATTTGGGTATATATTGGGCATATTATTTGGATAATATTTGTCAATATTAACTATTGAACAAATTTTTATAATGATAATGATGTTGTCATTATAAGTTAGTAAAACCAATAGATTTACAATTATACCAAATGTGTTTTAATAACATACAGAAGTGATAGTGGCATTTAGTCTATTTTCTCAGATCTCTTTACTACAATTTTACTCTGAAAAAGTTATTATTATTTCAATTTTATACATGAAAATAAAGAGTCAGCATATGGGGGCCTGGAAAGATGGTTCAGTGGTTAAGAGCCTGACTGCTCTACCAGAGGACCTGGGTTCAATTCCCAGAACAAACATGGCAGCTCACAACTGTCTGTAATTCCAGGTCCAGGGGACCTGATACCCATAGCAAAACATCATTGCATATAATATAAAAATAAATAAAAATTTAAAAACCCACAATTTAAAAAAATCAGCATATGAAATTAATGCTTACTTTGAGATCAGTCTAGTGTTACAGTGCTTTGTATATATATGCATTGAAACTCAGTCATATTTTTATTGAAATTTCATATACTATATTCTGATGATGGTTCCCCTCTCACATCACCTCCCACACACTCCTCACCTCCCCATCCATTCAATTCCACCCCTTCTTTCTTTCTTTAGAAAATAAACAGGCAAAAAAAACAGACAAAAAAAAAACACAACACATACATATACAACTACAGAAACACAAAATTGGAAGCCATAAATTACAAAGAGAAGACCAGTAAGATATTTTATTTTTTTTTGGTAGCCGCATTTCTTTTTTTTTTAATTTTTATTTATTTGTTTATTTATTAAAGATTTCTGTCTCTTCCCCACCGCCGCCTCCCCCTTTCCCTCCCCCTCCCCAAATCAAATCCCCCTCCCTCGTCAGCCCAAAGAGCAATCAGGGTTCCCTGCCCTGTGGGAAGTCCAAGGGCCACCCACCTCCATCCAGGTCTAGTAAGGTGAGCATCCACGAAACTGCCTAGGCTCCCCCGAAACCAATAGGTACAGTAGGATCAAAAACCCATTGCCATTGTTCTTGAGGTCTTAGTAGTCCTCATTGTCCACTATGTTCAGCTAGACCGGTTTTAACCCGGGCTTTTTCAGACCCAGGCCAGTTGGCCTTGGTGAGTTCCCGATAGAACATCCCCCTTGTCTCAGTGTATGGGTGCACCACAGGCAAATGGATGGAAATAGAAAACACCATCCTGAGTGAGGTAAGCTAGACCCAAAAAGAGGAACATGGATGTACTCACTCATATTTAGTTTCTAGCCATAAATAAAGGACATTGAGCCTATAATTCGGGTTCTTAGAGAAGCTAAATAAGAAGGAGAACCCAAAGAAAATCATATAGGCTTCCTCCTGAATATTAACCTTCATCAGGCGATGAAAGGAGACAGAGACCCACAATGGAGCACCGGACTGAAATCTCAAGTTCCAAATCAGAAGCAGAAGGAGAGAGAGCACAAGCAAGGAACTCAGGACCGCGAGGGGTGCACCCATACACTGAGTAAGATATTTTAAAATGCCTAAAAAATATTAGACAAAAAAAACTGCAGAATACTATAGAGTTTGTTTTGTGTTGACCATCTGTGCTGAACATGGGCCTACCCTTCAGTGTGGTTTATATACCCAGTAAGACTCCACTGGATAAAACTAATTTTTGCAATGCAAACCGTGATTGGTTTGAGATACCTACTTGATTAATGATAGTAGCTCCTGTGCACTTCCCCTTCCTAGCACCAGAGCCCCATCTGGTTTGAGCTTGTCTAGCCCCGTGCATGCTTCCATGGTCTCTGAATCCTATGTGTGTCCGTCCTGCTGTGTCTGGGAGACATGATCTCCTTGGAATCATCTATTTCCTCTGCCTCTTTCAATCCTTTCACCTCCTCTTCCCTATGGCTCCCTGAGACTTGAGGGGAGGGGTTTGATGAAGACATCCCACTTGAAAATGAATATAGAAAAGTCCCTCACTTTCTATACATTGTCCAGTTGTGAGTCTCTCTATTTGTTCCCATCTATCACAGGAAGAAGCTTCTCTAAATGTGGCTGAGCAAGACACTGATCTATGCGAATCACAGAATTTCATTAGGAGTCATTTATTAGCCTATAACGAACTAATAACATTTGTGTTTCCCCAAGCCTCTGACCTATCCAGTCTCAGGGTCTTAGCCACTGAAGCAGAGTCAGTCATGGGTTCTAAAATCCGGACAGAGAGTGGTTGGTAACTCCCACAATATTTGTACGACTATTGCATGAGTCTATCAACCAGGAACACTGTAAACCACAGGGTTTGTAGCTGGGTTAGTCTTTGCTGTTCTTTACTGGGGGTAACCAGAGTGCCTTCCAGTACCATGAGCAATAGTCAGTAGGGGAAAGAGCTCTAGTTGGGCAGCAGCTCAACTGCTTCCTGTTGAATGAGGTATGTAGGTGATATTTTCATAACATTATTTTGTGGAATGCAGCCATTAGTCTTGGCAATGACTTGAGTTATTGTGAGGTTTTCTTGGGGCCGATTAGGTCAATTAATAAATTAAACGCAACCTATTTCTGGCACTGGACTTTTTAGTTGGTGGTAAAAGATGTCTAATTTGGATATTGTCAACTCTGTTATTTGGTAACTCGATAGATAGATAGATAGATAGATAGATAGATAGATAGATAGATAGATAGATAGATGTGTGTATGTATGTATATATGTGTGTGTGTGTGTGTGTGTGTGTGTGTGTAAAAAGTTTAAGAATCTTCTATAACAGTGGCTTTCCAATGACCCCTCAAGGGTTACTTGATTATGGTGGATGCTTTTTGTGTGGCTTTAAAAAAAATATGTCCTTGTGATTCTATGGATTTCTTTAGCGGTCAATATTGTTGATTTTCTCAAAGAACCAGGTCTTTGTTTCATTTATTTTTGTTTTGATTTTTTGGATTGCTTTCTGTGTTTCTATTTTGTTGATTTCAGCCCTCAGTTTGATTATTTCCAGTCTTCTACTCCTCCTGGGTGAGCCTGCTTTTTTTTTTCTAGAGCTTTCAGGTGTGCTGTTAAATCTCTAATGTGAGCTTTCTCCATTTTTTTTTAAATGTGGGCACTTAGTGCTACAAACTTTCCTCTTAGTACTGCTTTCATAGTGTCACATAGTTTTGGGTATGTTGTGTCTTTATTTTTGTTGAATTCAAGGAAGACTTTTAATTTCTTTCTTTATTTCTTCCCTGACCCAGGGGTAGTTCAGTAGTTGACTGTTCAGTTTCCATGAGTTTGTAGGCTTTCTGGGGGTAGAATTGTTGTTAAATTCTAACTTTATTCCATGGTGATCCAATAAGACACAGGTGGTTATCTGTGGAAGTTTGCTTTGTTACCGAGTATGTGATCAATTTCTGAGAAGGTTCCATGAGATGCTGAGAAGAAGGTATATTCTTTCCTATTTGGGTGGAATGTTCTATAGATGTCTGTTAAGTACATTTGATTCATTACCTCCATTAGTTCTCTTTTTTCTGTTAGGTTTCTGTCTGGTTGACCTGTCCATTGGTGAGAGAGGAGTGTTGAAGTCTCCTACTATTAGTGTGTGGGGTTTGATGTATGCTTTGAGTTTGTTTCTTTGAAATATGTGGGTGCTTTAATATTAAGGGCATAGAGAGGCTGGTCTCCCTCCTTCTCTCTTTTTACTTTCCAGTTACCCTAATAAAAGCCCCTCTACATGAATTCTGTTGTTTGGTGTCTTTCTCTCATGAGCCGATTTTCTTTCTTTCTTTCTTTCTTTCTTTCTTTCTTTCTTTCTTTCTTTCTTTCTTTCTTTCTTTAAAAAATTACAGCAGTAACTGTGGCCTCATAAAATAAATTTGTCAGTATTCCTTCTGTTTCTATTTTGTGTAATTGAGGAGTATTAACTTTAAATCTTCTTTGAAAGCCTGGTAAAATTCTACCCTAAAACTATCTGGCTTTGGATATTTTTCTTAATAGATGTTCCTATATGCATGTTCCTATATATGCATACTTGTTTTTAAATTGAAAGTTTATACTATTAAAAATATCTTGAATATAATGAAACAACAGTTCTGATACTATCAACAGTACCTGTCACTCCTCAAACATAATTTTATACAACTACCATTTTGATCTCCTACTTGTTACAGTCTTCTAGAATTTATCTTTTTTTAACTTTTGTTTTTCAGATATATAATGTAGCAGCTAATTCTACAAAGAAGACCATATGTACCGCTGGCCCTGATAAACCATTTTACCTTGTTCTTACTATCTGTGTAACAATGATCAGCCATGGGGTTTTCTGGAGTAGGTACTCTCACCATTAATGTAGATGGGCATAATATCTGTATTCATGTATAACCTTAGCATCATGAAGCAGACACAGCAGTAAATGCACTGAAATATTCTAGACACATAAAATATATAATGATTTAACTGAAATCAGTCAGCGATGTTTTAGATGGCACATCAGAAATACTAAAAAGAGCCTGTCTTCAATTTCATGAATAGAAGGTGAATTCTTCCGGCTTCAAGTCATCTTAAGAAGAGAAGATGCTGTTTTATAGCTTTTTCATAGAGGACATGAACTATGAGTAACATAGTTACTGAATAGCATTTTAACACACTGAACTAAACTAGTGATGATGGAGACTGCATAGAGGGCAAAACATTTGCTGTGCAAGCATTAGTTTCTGCCCCAAGGTCTCCAGAGCTCACAGACTGTGGGATATGGTAGCATGCATCTCCTACAGAGGGAGGGGAGGTAGAGGCAGGAGGATCACTAGAAGCTCCTGGGCCAGAAAGACTGACTTCTACAGATGGAACAACTGAACCTGTCTTTAACAAGTTCAAATGATAAGGAAAACAGCCAAGTTTATACCTGACTTCCACAAGCACACATGGCCAACATGTTTACACACACATACAAACATATACACACACACAGATAATTTTATAACACTAAATTGAATGACCAACAAAATAAAATAATACTGGAACATACATAAAATGCCACTTTTCAGAAAATGTTGTTTTAAATAAAATTATAGTTTATAAATAAATTATAATTATTATTACAGAATAAATTATAAACCAGCTGGTGGTAGCACGTGCCTTTAATCCCAGAACTTGGGAGGCAGAGGCAGGCAGATGTCTGTGAGTTCAAGGCCAGTCTGGTCCACAGGGTGAGTTCCAGAACAGCCTTGGCCACACAGAAAAATACTATGTATATTTACCACTCCTGAAACTCCCTACTTCACCCTCCAAAGTTCCTTACCTGTGTTGTTTCCTCCAACACCACATAAGAACCCATCAAGTCCAGTCTGTACTGCCTGAATACTCTTGGATGTTTAGCTATCCACAGGAGGCCAGGTGATGTACCAGAAGCCACATCCTTAAAAAAATTGATTCTCCCTCTTTGACTGGCTAAAAATGCCAATAGCTCCTTGGCTGGGAGTAGGACTTTATGTTCACTGCTCTCTTCCACTATGGGATTTAGCCAGATTTGAATTTGCATGGGTTGGTGCATGCTGTCACAATCAGAGAATTCATTAAACTGTCATTTTATACCTTGAGAACCTTCTTTCTTTGTATTCAGTCACTATCTCTAGCTTATATAGTCCTTCAGTCCCCTCTTCTGTAATGATCTCTGGGTTTGGGCAGGAGAGAAGGCACTATGGATGTTCCATTTATAGTTGAACCTTCGTTAGTCTTTTATTCTCCTCACCTTAGTCCATTTGCATCTCTTTATTAATCACAGTCTACTACAAACAGAAGCTTCTCTGATGAAGACTGAGAGATGTACTGATCTAAGAGTCCAAGAGTCAGTCATTAAGAGTCAGTTTAATAATCTACGTTTAACAGAGTGGCAGTAGTAGGTTCTCTCCCATGTCCTATGGCCTTTCTATCCACAGATTCTTAATGAAACACGGAATTAGATATAAATTTCATCCTTTATAATGGTACTAAAATGCAATAAGATTGTGGTTGGTTATCCCCATGATGGTCAAACCCCTGCTTTAAAAGTGAGCAAGTCTTGCTAGTCCAGTGGTTATTGTAGCTCACAGAGTTCACAGTTGAGCAAAACTGGTGCTTCTCTGGCAGTATGCATAGCATCTTTCAACCCTATAAAAACTACCAAGTAGGAATTAAGCTTCCAGGTCAATATCAGCTTAATATCTCCAAACATTTATTTATTTATCATTTGATAGATTTATACATTTTCCTGATTAATTCCCTTCTCTCAATTAGTTCTGTGTCTGCTGGGAATCCATTTGCTCAACAAGTTCTTCTCCTACTTTCACGTGGTATGGGAGGTCCTTCTGTCTATGTGTTGCTTTTATTGGTTAATGAATAAAGAAACTGCCTTGGCCTGTTGATAGGGCAGAACTTAGGTAGGTGGTGAAAACTGGACTGAATGCTGGGAGAAGGAAGTTGGAGGGAGACACACCATGGAGCCACCAGAGTCAGACATGTCGAATCTTTGTTTGTAAACCACTGCCACGTGGTGATATACAGATTAATAGAAATAGGTTAAATTAACAGAAGAGTTAGCCAATAAGAAGCTAGAGCTAGTGGGCCCAGCAGGGTTTTAATATAGTTTCTGTTTGTTTATTTTGTTTCTGGGAGGCCGGGACAAACAAGTGGCGTCCTCCGTACAACATTCAAGTCTTCATTCTTTTGTGTGATCCAATGAGTTTAATATCTTCTTGTTTGAGCCTTGGAAGGAGATTATTTACTATAGGAAGGGTAAATAATTAACAGCTATGCAAGAAAATGACTCATCTTCTTATTAACCTATAGCAACCACTATTTACTCAATGCAATGGTATTGTATTGAGCCATCTGCTATCCATAATGAATTATTCATGAACTCAATCTTGTGCTGATATGGAGAAGATAAATGTATTGAGAATTTCATGCTACCAAAATACTGTTAGGAAATAAAATAAATCCTCTAGAGTATGATCACTGTTTAATTTTATCATTACATGTGTGCATATTTATTGCTATTAAAATGTTCACTGTTTAAAATTTTGTCTTGCTTTTATAGGGCACATTATTTGAAAACATAGGTCTTATGAAATATGAAGAAGTATTTTCACTAATAGCAGCAGCTCACTATACAAAACCAATTTCAGATGAAAACATTACAGTGATTGACACAAACTTTAGTGACATTCCTGTTCGTCTGTACTTGCCAAAAAAGAAGTCTGAAAGACAGAGACCAGCTGTAATTTACATTCACGGTGGCATCTTTGTCTTCGGAAGTTGCAGTAAGTGTATTTCTGATATATGTGTTGTTCATATATTAATATTAAAATAAGTGCTATGCATTGACAGAGTACGTAACACTATAAAGTTGACTTGAATAATATTTGCTCCTTAACAGAGATACATTGGAATGTATGGGTTATGGCTCACACATATTGGTAAGTAAAGCATCATGTGGAACTAAAATTGTTTTGTTAGGAAAAATTTACTTTTAAATAAACATATATACAGCCTAGACTTGAAAGTGTAAACAAGAAACTCTGAATTGAGCCAAAAAGCTGCCAATGACACAAATTATATAAAACATTGATGTGAACCAGGTTCTCTCTGTGTGTGTACAAAGTTCTTTAACTGTTGGATCTGAACTAATATAATCACTGCCATACCATGGTTAACATTTGTTCAAGTTGTAGATTGTAATACAACAATAATATAGACACTTATAATCCAAAGCATAACTTTGTATTAAAATGATACAATAAAATAAAGCTGAGTAATCAGTTACTGACTATAACCCATGGATTCATCTCTGAAGGGGAAAGAATGTAGTAGCTAAGACAGAGAGACAGACAGACACACACACACAGAGGCATGCATAGATAGATAGATAGAGAGATAGATAGAGAGATAGATAGATAGATAGATGATAGATAGATAGATAGATGATAGATAGATAGATAGATAGATAGATAGATAGATAGATAGATAGATGGACAGATAGACAGACACACCATTTTAAACTTTCATGACTTACAGATTCACTGTACAGCAAAGTATTGGGCTATCATACTGTATGCTTAACATATATAATAAACAAGTGATAACACTCCTTTCTTCAATGAGCCTATAACTTGTTATAACCAGTATTTTTTCTTCATGGACTGGAAAAAATTTCAAGACAAGCAAAACTGAGAAGGTGTGCCTAGTCTTAGTATAACTCGATATACCATGTTTTGTTGATATCCCTGGGAGGCCTTCTCTAGGAGTGAATTTGAGGGAGAGGGGAGTTGAGGGGGACTATAAGGAGAGGAGAGAGTAGAAACTGTGGTCCGGATGTAATAAATGAGAGAAGAGTAAATTAAAAATAAAAATATAATAAATTAAAGTGTTAATGTGTTCAGCTGAGCAGCCAACTAAGTAAGCATTTTTTTGGATTGATTTTATCGCCAGCATTTTAGTTTTGCAGAAGCAAATGATTAAGGAAGGTTTTCAAAGAATTCGAAAAGGGAGGAAGCAACAGTCCTATTGGCAGAAACCAGGGCTTCTAGCTCCTCCTCCAGGGTTTCGGGCTCCAGGCCATCCAAGTGGCAGTGGCTGGACAATGCCACCTCTCAGAAGCAGATAGTCCCTCTGTTTGGCTCCAATGACATTTCTAAATTTCCATCCTGTTTCCAACCTTACCTGCTCCTTCCAGCACATAAGTACCATATGCTTGTCACCTCCCAGTCCACTTCTCTTCTTACCCATTCCACACTTACTGTATCTTACTGATCCCTTCTTCACTGCTCTCTACTTATATCCTGGGAAAAGACATGTTTATCTTTTGGTCAAGATAAGTCCGCTTTCCTTAGCATATTTCCTTCCAAATCATCATCTGAACTGTGTTTCTTCTGCAATTATAACCCCTTTATTGACTCATAGGTATGTGCTGTCTTTTCTGCCTTCACCTCTGTTGAACCCTGTTGCTCTTTCTAGTTATTGCCTAATTGTGTTTTCCTTTCAGAGACTTGTGCCCATGCCTGTCTTTCTCTCCTTTCGATTCTTTCTTTCAGCTGTGTAATCTGAAAGCGCTAATATTCTTTACTATTAGCTTGTATAAAATAAATTTCTTCATCTTCCTTTACATTATCCCTTTATTTGTGGCTACAACTTTAAAACAAATGAAAAGCTGAAACCACTGTGAAATAAGCTATTGTTTAGACTTTACAGATATTAATATTCTAATATTTTAGTGTGCACTTCTTTAGTTATTGGTTTCATGTTTTTCTCTACTTTATTCTTTACTTGTTTTCTCCATATGCATCCTGATTTTAATCTCTAACATTGTTGCTGAACTTAAGTTCAGTAAATTCTACTGTGAAATGGACTGTGTAACTGGTCAATAATGGATCACGAGAATTCTTTAACAGCTATAACTGGCCATTAACGGATCATGTGAATTCTTTAATGTAGAAGATGTAGCATATTCTTGTTTTAAAGAGTAAGCATGAACCGGCCTCTGGTAGCTCAGCACAGTGCTTTACTGTAGATCTCTGATTCTGCTTCCATCAGTTTCTGGATGAAGCTTCTCTTATGACAGTTAAGGTAGTCAACTATCTGATTACAAGCGAAGGCCAGTTTAGGAACCCTCTCCACTGTTGCTTAGAGTCTTAGCTGAGGTCATCCTTGTGGATTCCTGGGAATTTCCCAGTGCTGTGTTTCTCGCTTGTCTGTTAATGGCTCCCTCAATCAAGACATCTCTTTCCTTTCTATCCCTCACTGCCCTTCCCCTTTCTTGAGCATCTCCTTCCCTCATGTTCTCCTCCTCCCTCCCTTCGCATCTCCCCCTGCCCTTCCTTCCTCCCTTCACGCCCGCCTCCGAATTTTTTCAGGAGGTCTTATCTGTTTCCTCATTCCAGGGAAAGAGAGGGAGGAACAATAATATGAGTAAATGGGTTAAGACCATGATGGGGATACCCACAGAAACAGCTGACCTGAGCTAGTGAGAGCTCACTGACTCTGGACTGACAGCGGGCGAACCTGCATAGGACCAGATTAGACCCACTGAATGTCCGGTACAATTGTGAGGCTTGAGCAGTCTGTGGGGCCACTGGCCGTGAGACCAAGATTTATCCCTCAAGCTTGAAATAGCATCTAGGAGCACGATCTCTTTGGACAGATACCTTACTCAGCATAGACTTAGCAGGGAGGGCCTTGGTCTTGCCTTTATGTGAAGTCAGACTTTGTTGACTCCCCATGGGAAGTCTTACCATTTCTGAGGAGTGGGTGGTTGGGTAGGGTGATGGAGGAAGGTCATTGGCTAATAAAGAAACTGGCTTGGCCCATTTTATTGGTTAGAACATAGGTGGGTGGAGTAAACAGAAGAGAATGCTGGGAGGAAGAGGAAGTGAGATCAGAAGTAATGCAGCTCTTCTCAGAGCCAGACGCCTCAGTCAGAGAGGCATGCTCCGCTCTCCCTGGCAGATGCACGCAATGAAGCTCCTCCGACCCAGGATGGACTGGATGTAGGCTAGAATCTTCCCGGTAAGCGCACCTTGGGGTGCTTACACAGATGATTAGAAATGGGCTAAATTAATATGTGAGAATTAGCCTAGAAGAGGCTAGATAGAAATGGGTCAAGCAGTGTTTAAATGAATACAGTTTGTGTGTTGTTATTTCGGGCATAAGCTAGCCAGGCGGCCGGGGTGCTGGGGATGCAGCCCCACCGCTCTTATTTCAACAGTAGGGGGAAGAGTGAAGCCTGAGGGAGGGTAGGGAGTGGGAATGGGGATAGCTATGTAAAATAAGAAAAGACTGTATTAAAAAAAATCTTAATAAAAAGAAAAAAAGAGTAAGTTTGGAAATAACTCCACAAACACGAGAAAGGTGAATGACCCCCAGTAATGAACACCATGCTCTATTTGAGCTGTCTTTTAGCTCCTATGCTTTATGACATGTTCCGGCCACACAGTTTTGAGCATCTTCTTGTTCCTGTCCTCCCTACGTAGACTATCATTTAGATTGCTCCCTGTTCATTCATTCCTGGCTGCTCTCCACTCTTTCTTCATTTCTGCTGCCTTCTTTCTCAACCTTCCATAATGTGGAAATATGACCACATTAATCGTGAAGAAACATTTCAGATGTACTGGCCATCTAGTAATAAACATTTTGTCACACATTGAAGTATAGATCTTCCATTTCTATTTTCTTATTTTGCCTACTTTCTGCCTCTAACTCTGGATTTCAACTGTATTTGCCTACATATATTCTCATAAACATATTACTTTTTAACCAAAAATTATGATTTTTATCCAGTTTATTTGCTGGTGGTTATTATGTTTTTACATTTAACATGATGAATACCAATTTATGATCTTGAGGTGAATTAATATATATTGCTAATTAAAATGAATCTTGTCACTGCTATCTATTAAAAGTTTAGTAAAACATTTTCTTTTTTTATCCTTTTGAATTCTTTTAAGTTGATTATATCCACAGTTAACTTTTTGAATGAACTACAAATTTAAGAACATGTTATTATTTGATTTTAATAAAAATTAAATTGTATCTTCTATGCAGAAAGGGAATATGAAGTTTACTTATAAGCTGATTAAATATGCATGACTTTACATAAATATGTAAGCCTAGCGAAGGAAAATCTCATTTGTTTTAATTACACTAAAATTACACCTTGCTTTGAGTAAGTTGATGTTCCTCCATTGAAAAGTTTCTTTAAAAATAACTTTGAAAAATATCTGAATTTGTGAACATTGTAACACTAGCTGCAATGTTATTTTTAACTTCATGCCAGATTTCTCGATTCCCCTACCAAGAGTTTTATGAAATATGGTGCTAATGAGTGACAGATAATCCTTTCTTTCCTTGAGCTCTGACAGAGTATTGCACTCCACGGCGACAAAAGCGGGGATTGCAGGGTTTCCGTCATTAATCGCAATGCACATTTCTATCATATTCATAGGTACTGGTGAGTTCCCATTATTTTCTAATTACAGCGCATCAATTGATATTTGTTTCTATTGTTTCAGAGATATCAACCAGTGACGACCTGAACAGATGGACAGCAAACAAGCTTGGTGCTGTTGTTGTGGGAATAGAGTAAGGGGATGATAGCATTTCTTACCACAGCCCTTGCTCTCACTACCTAAGCTTGGCTTTTTTTCCGGACTTGACACCCACCTAGGTTAAAGGAGCAGATTATTTGATCTGCAAGTAACATACATAAAGTATACTCATTATATGCTTAAGATGATGGGTTTTATTTGACCTAGTTATAAAAGAGTGCGCAGTTAGTGTTGTTCTTGAGTCTAGTATTTTTTGGTGAAAACTTTGGGAAAAATTCAAATACTTTAAGACATTATACAAGTAATGTTTTATTATCTCATTGTTTTTACCAGCATTTCCAATAACATACAAAAATATGAGCAAGTGTTTATTACTTTATGAACTTCTGTGTCCTCTGAACCACTGAGACTTCTATCAGGAGGATGAAAAGTTTGCTGCACCTCTTGCCAATACCAAAGCACGTAGTGTAGAAATAGATTTTACAGGATTGTAGACCTCAGACAAAAACACCATAAAGAATTTTGTAGTGAGAGTATATTGTCAGCAAGTAGGATATACTAGAGAGATTAGTTCTGCCCTATTCATAACCAATTATTGCTAATGGGACAAGACATATTGTGTGAGTTTTGAGAAATATCTAAATTAAGATAGTAATAAGGGTGTGCATTTCCTGCAATAATTTAGCCAAATTTATCATATTATCATTTTAAATTAGTTTTTTAAATGGTGTGATATATTGTACAATGTTTTAGAATTCTGCACATTTTTAGGTACTTGCAGTTCTCTACCTTGACGAGTAATGATATTTGTATGTCATTTGCTCATATTATACTAATTTTCAAATATGTAAGACCCAGATTAAAATACAAATATCTACATGTACCCATACGATTGATATTGTTTAAAATAAACATGTGAATAATTCACTGATTCTAATAGATATTAAACTGATAGAATTATAAATGTTGTAGCCCACTGGAGGTGTGCTCCAAAGACAGAACACACACAGACACACACATACGAAGCAAAGCGAAAAATGAAAAGACACTGTATTACTGTTAGTACTTAGTGTTATGAAACAATTAAACATTTTGAGTAAGATCCTTTGGTATACTTAGAATGTTCCTATTCCATAATGATTGTTGGCTTAAATTCTGATGTTCAGTTTGTGATATGAAATTCTACAATTTTAAAGAATATGGATCTACATATGCTTATAATTGAAGTCATATGTCAATAATTTGCTCTCATTTTTTGGCATTTAAAAATTCTGGGTATTCTCATCACTGTTTTAAAATTGTTTATGTGTCAACAAGTGCACTGAGGACCATGGAAGTATACAGGCTTCATAGGGTTAAGTCACCTGTCTCAGGCATTTCTCCTTAGAATCAGTACCTGAAAACCTGAACCGGAATCTACTCCTCACTTTTAAGATCAATGTTACCAGTTATCTTGGGGTTAATTGGTGACATTTGTGATTCAGAGTAGGGCCAAAATATCAGTGTATCTGTTGGGGAGTATAAGAGATATTTAGTTACATATTTTTAACAAGGGCTCTGTTGTGTTTCTTCTTGATTTCCCTCTAAAGCTACAGACTTGCTCCTCAGTATCGATTTCCAACTGCCCTTGAAGATTGTGTTTTTGCAAGCAAGTTCTTTCTCCAGGATAAGGTTCTTGCAGAATATGGAGTGGATCCCTCTCGCATCTGTGTTATGGGAGACAGTTCTGGGGGTACCTTGGCAGCAACAGTGGTTCAACTGGTATGTTGTATGTATTATATACATGTTTTAATCCTAACACAAAAGAAGCACTGTTTTAGGTGTATTTGCATTTGTTTCAAATCATTAGCTATGGAATTTAAGATAAACAAGAGTATCCATTTTGCAGGATGTTACTTTAGATTTAGCTTTAATTGTCTACTGCTAAGAAAGGAGATAGGATATAACAGCTCCTGTTTAAAATAGGCAGTGAAGGCATGGCTGTAGGAGCTGCTTTTGCCTGTGGCAGTGGGAGCGTAAGGCTGCTTGCTCTTACCTCTCATGGCTAGAATTCAGAGAATGATGCTTGCTGGTACTAAGCTTCCAACACATGACCTATATTCCCCCAAATGCTTTTGTAGAAGAAAATGAATACTTTGTAGCATTTCTATTACATAGATTGACCTCCTTGTATAAATTTGATGTAGTCTCAAAGTATGTATTTATTTATTTTAATAAATACTTCTATTTTTTATTTGAAATTTAGTCCAATCAATAATGTTTCCTTTTTTTAGGACTAGTTAACTCATCTTAAGACTACTATCCCTTTTATTATTCAACTGTTATGAAATACCATATCATATAAGCCCATAAAATACTCAAAATCTTTCTTGAGTCACTTCAGTGTTCTGTTTCATAAGGTGCATGAACAGGCTCTCAGAATAAAAGAACTACTTTTTTAAAGAAACTTCTAAAGCAGGTCAGGTTTTTCTAGTAGAAAGACAAGATATAGATGGACAAGAGTACAAAACATGTGTGTTCTCATGTTTTAAGGAAACATGGAGCCTGATGTGATAGTTGAGAAGGCAAAGGCATCTGCTGCCAAGCCGTAAGGCCTGATTTAACTTCCAGGACCCACACAGTGGGGAAAAAAAACTAACCAAATCCTCAAAGTTGTCATTTTCAGGTGGTGACACACCACATTTTTCTCTCATGTTCCATCAGGGGAAAAAAAAAAACTGCCACTATTCTAAACCATGTGGTTCAAAACGAACAAAGAGAGATTAAAATTTGTCACTTCAGTGGAGAGCAGAACTGTGATGTCTTCAAGATGGCAAATCATTGAGAAAGATGGGCTAGTTCAATAAAGATGTGTGGCTAGGATAGGCACATTTGCAATGGCTCAGAAAGTGTCAAGAGAAAAGGAATTAAAAAAATTTAACTGATAAATAAGGACAGGATCACCTTTCCTTTAACTGAGCAAGTTTTAGGCACAATGCATACAGTGTCTAACATAAGGTGGCAAATGATCATTGAAATTGAGGTAAATTACTTGTGAGTTTAGGAACTGATGCTCTTGATTAAGTTTTAACATGTGCAAACACAAGTGTTCATGATTATGGTGAAATTAATTAATATATAATCAAATAAATGAAGTAGTTTTTGCCAGACTGATAGCCTGTGGTTCTGGCTAGTACACAATCATTAATTTGGTACATTTTAATCCTTCAGTTAATTTTTGAAAATTAAATTTGACTTAGGTTTTAAGATAGATAGGAGCACTGAATGCTAGACAAGCAAACTTCACACGGACGCTTAGGAATATAGAGTTGAAATTGAAATAACTGCAACAAAATGAGTTATCAGTCACCGAAAAGTTGCTTCACTGCGTAAAAATGCTGGTTAGCCAACCCTGATGTTCAAAGTTCTGTCACTGGATTCAAACTGTTGGAGGAAGAGAATAACTCCTGGAAGATGTCCTCTGACCTCCACATGCACAAAGATGCTCCTCCCCCTCCATGGTCTCTGTCTGTCTGCCCCCACCCCCGTGTGTGTGTGTGTGTGTGTGTGTGTGTGTGTGTAGTCTCTCTCTCTCTCTCTCTCTCTCTCTCTCTCTCTCTCTCTCTCACACACACACACACACACACACACACACACACACACACACACGCTCGTCAGCTCCTTCCCTGGCCCGCCAGATACTGATAGATCCAATCGAATCTTACTGAATGACAGAACGACAAAAGACTCAGACAGACACAGACACAGACAGGGCGCTGGCTAGCTTACCTCCCAGTGGTGGGTCGGTGGTCCCTGGGTGGGGGGGGGTCTCAGCTTCCCGGCCAGCGCACCAAATGAAAGATCCTCAGAGTGGTCCTTTCTCAGGAGAAGACCCCAACCCAAGGAACAGTCGAGACCACTGGCTGCAATTAGCAAGAGGTTTATTGGGAGGGCACAGGTACCTGTGGGCGGCAAAGTCCTTTCGGAGGACTTGCGCACCTGCGGGCTTGGAGAAGGTCTTTTTATAGGAAAAGGGTGGCAAAAGCAGGCATACAGAAGCAATGCATGGTTACAGGGATCTCATTGGTCAGTTTGAATGAGGCGATGGGTTCATTTAGGGGACAAGTTCCTCGGGGACATGAAGATATGATAGTAGCTGACTTGGCCCTATCTAGGGCACATGTAGTTCTTCCCAGAACTGTCCGTTCCCCTCCTAGGCCTGGTGTCTGATATCCTGTTTGGCAGTCTAGGAGTACTGACTTTACCTTGAACTTATACTTGTTTGTGTGAAAGCTTTGCAAAATGGCATTACAGCAGCTAAGCAGCTAAGCTGGGGTCTTTCAGTCTGTGATTGTCTGTCTGTCTGTCTGTCTGTCTGTCTGTCTGTCTGTCTGGGATTAGGAGCATATACTGGAAGGCTGAATAAAGAAACCAGTACACAGAGTTACCTTGGTGATGATTCTGCTGTGCTGGGATGTTAGGGCCCACACTGCTGCTGTTGCCACTATGCCCTTCTGCTGTACTCTGTGCCCTATGTTTCACCACCCACACTGGGAGCCAAATGTAACCTTTGCTTTACTGCTGCCCAAAGTGCCTTGGCATCTCATTGGAGTGGCTAGTGAAATTCTATTTAGAACTAAGTCAAGCAATTTCAGACATGGTGTTTATTATGGTCCTCTTCACAAAATCCTGACGGAAGTCATCCTTACAGCTGTACTGATTTTTCTTCCAAGGTTCTGGCATCAGGGTAATTGGAATAAGGGCCTGAACTTTGGACAGTGTTAGGCCATCTTTTTATTCTGTTGTAAAGGTGAAGGTTCTCCCACAGGCCCAGGTGTGGTGTCACAACAGTCTGTCAGATGTGGAAAGACCATGAAAGGCAGAGATGTGGCCACCAAGTGTCCTTTCTGTGCTGCAAGAGTCAGGTGCTTTTGTCCAGGTTAGACTCTGTGCTCCATGTGATTTGCCAAGGTCAAGACTTCCATTGCTGCTCCTAAGGTCTTCCTCAATGTCCTAGGTAAATTTAGACATGGCCAGTTCTTTCATAACTGTCTTCTTCAGTGAAAAGGAATCTTGGGATTTGGCTTATCGCCTTCAGAAATCCTTCAGAAATGTGTACTAGAATCCACATTTTGGAATTTGTAATGAAAGACATTGGTATAAATGAGTATCTGTGATGGTTTTATTGGAAAATCTTTTTGATAATAAACATTAAAACTAAGAACTTAAGACATAAAGACAGTATTTTCACCATGAAATTTTATCACAGTGGGTTTAGCACAGGGATTTATTGACTCAGGACAGCAGAGAACTAGTGGAATTTGAATCCCAGACACCGTCCTCCATGGGGAGCGTATCATAGCATCTCTCCCAGCTCTTTTTGGTTTAGAGCATGTGGAATTTTCAACCACTGCCTAGAGAACAATTGTTCTCTCCTTTTCTCCACCTTCAGTGCGGTAGTTGTCATTTGATGTCTCTGTCTATGTCTTTATGCGAGTATATACATTACAAAAAATGTATGTATTTGCAAGTGCTTGTTCATGTGTATACTCATGCATGTAGAAGTCAGAGGTTGACTAGATGTCTTCCCCTGTATTTCTCTACCTTATTTTTGAAAGTGGACCTTTTATCGGACATGAGAACACTGAGTCAGCTAGGATGACTGTCAGTTAACTTCTTGGATCCCCCTCTGTCCACCCTATCCACACATATGCTGCTATGCACGGCTTTCGTGGTTCTGGCCATCTGTAATCAGGCCCTTGAACGTGTATCAACAAATACTTTATTGACAGAGTAGTGTCATTTCTCATTCACTTTATTTTGTATTTCAATATAAAATTGATCTGATAAGATACATGGTGTTATTCCAAACTTTTTGTATTTGGTGGAGTTTGTTTTATTACCAAGTATATGGTCAATTTTTGAGAAGGTTACATGAGGTGCAAAGAAGAAGGCATATTCTTTTATGTTTGGATGGAATGTTCTATAGATATCTGTTAAGTCCATTTGAGTCATAATACCTGTTAGTTACTTTATTTCTCTGTTAATTTTTCATCTGACTGACCTGTCCAGTGGTGAGAGTGGAATGTGGAAGTCTCCCACTATTAGTGTATGGGGTTTAATATATGATTTAGGCTTTAGAAGTGTTTCTTTCAAATATGGGGGTGCCCTTGTATTTGGGGCATAGATGTTCAGTATTGAGATTTCCTCTTGATGGATTTTTTTTGACTAATATGTAATGTCCTTCTTTGTCTCTTTTGGTTGATTTTATTTTAAAGTCTCTTTTGTTAGATATTAGGATAGCTACACCAGCTTGTTTCTTAGGTCCATTTGATTAGAATATTTTTTCCTAATTCTTTACTCTGAGACAATGTCTGTCTTTGATATGGAGGTGTGTTTCTTGTATGCAGAAGAAGAATGGATGCTGTTTTTGTATCTAATCTGTTAGACTGTGCCTTTTTTAAAGTTGACTTTTATTGAGCTCTACATTTTTTCTGTGCCTTTTTATAGGTGAGTTGAGTCCATTTATACTAAGGGATACTAATGACCAGTGGTTGCTATCTCCTGTTAATTTAGTTTTCATTGTTGGTGATGTTAATTTGTGCATTTTTCCCTTCTTTGGGATTTGCTATGATGAGACCATCAATTGTCTGTGTTTTTGTTGGTGTAGCCATCTTCCTTGGGTTGGAGTTTTTCTTCTAATATTTTATGTAGGTCTGGGTTTGTACCTAGGTATTGGCTAAATCTGGTTTTGTCATGAATATCTTGTTTTGTCCTTCTATGGTGAATGAAAGGTTTTCTGGGTAAAGTCATCTGGGCTGGCATTTGTGGTCTCTTAATGTCTGCATAACACTTGAACACGACCTTCTGGCTTTCATTGTTTCTAATGAAAAGTCAGGTGTAATTCTGATAGGTTTACCTTTATATGTTACTTGGCCTTTTTCTTTTGCAGCTCTTAATATTCTTTCTTTACTCTGTATGTTTAGTGTTTTGATAATTATGTGGTAAGGAAACTTTTTTTGGATCCAGTCTATTTGGTGTTTTGTAAGCTTCTTGTATCTCCATAGGCATATCTTTCTTTAGGTTGGGAAAGTTTTCTTCTATGATTTTGTTAAATATATTTTCTGTGCTTTTGAGTTGAACTTCTACTCCTTCTTCTATACCTATTATTCTTAGATTTGGCCTTTTTATGTTGTCCCATATCTCCTGGGTATTTGGGGCTAAGTTTCATTATATTTAATGTTTTCTTTGACTGATGAGTTTATTTCCTCTATTGTATCTTTCAGTGCTTGAGATTCTCTCTTCCATTTCTTGTATTCTGTTTATGCTTGTGTTTATGGTTCCTGTTCATTTTCTCATGATTTCTGTTCCTATAATTCTCTCGGCTTGTGTTTTCTTTATTGTCTCTATTTCAGTTTTCAAGTCTGGATTAGTTTCTTTCATATGTTTGATTGCTTTTTCTTGGTTTTTAAGGAATTTGCTGATGTCTTCTAATTTTTTGTTTGTCTTTTCCTCCATTTCTTTGATGGAATTTCTCATTTCCTCTTTAAGAGTTTCAAACACTCTCCTGAAGTTATTTTTTAGATCATTTTTATCTGCTTTATCTATATTTGGTTGTTCAAGTCTTGCTGTTGTAGACTCTTTAGGTTTCACTGGTGTCATGTTGCTCTTTGTGGTGTTGTGTGCGTTGTTCTCTTTTCTACTCATCTTTTCGTTTAATGGGTGTGGTTGGGGCTGTCTTTGATTCTGTTGATTAATCTTCTAGGTGCCAGTGAATCCAAGGTTCAGATGGTTATTTCTCATGATACAGTCAGTACCACTGTTCTAGTTATCCCATTGGTCACTCCATGTTCTTGGAGGTCACTCAGTGCTCCTGAGCTTTGCTCTGCTCTCTTGGAGTTTGCTATCTCAGACCTGCTCTAGCCTAGGTCGTCATCTCAGACCTGTTTCTGTAAATGTCCCTGGTCAGGCTTGGGGTTGGTCCTTCAAAGATCTCTCTCTCCAATCTACTCCCTTGGATATCCCAGACTTGGGTGCTCCCAGACCCACAGAGGTCCTGGCTCAGGTCTACTCCCTCAGAGGTCCCAGACTCACACCTGGACCTGCAGAGATCTTTGGTTCCTGCTTATACCCTTGGAGGTCCCAGATTTCACACCTAGACCCACGGGGGCCCTGACTTAGATCTACTCCCTTGAAGGTCCCATATTCACATCCAGACCTACAGTGATCTCTGTCTCTGGCCCACTTACTCATCAGTTGCTCCCCTGTACCTGATCCTGTGGAGTTTACTGTTTCAGGTCTGCTCTGGCCCAGGTTGCTAGCTCAGTCCTGCCTCTACAAATGTCCCTGGTCTGGATCTGCCCCTGCTTGCATGGAGCTCACTTTCTCAGGCCTGCTCCAGCCTTGGGAGCTGGTTCAATCTCACTCCGGCAGAGCTCACTGCCTCAAGCCTGCTTTGGCTCAGGTCGCTGGATCAACCCTGATCTTTTGGAAATCTCTATCTCAGACCTGCTTTGACCTAGGTCGCTCTGAACTTCCTTTCCAGATCTTCTGGTTTTCATAAATTATTTTCTTTATCTTCTGTCACTTCAATCATGCCACACTACTTAGATAAATATTAATTGTCTCCTTTAGCATGTCAAGTTCCATCAGATTTTTGGTATTTGTGTTCTTTTATAGTTATACTTTTGGCCCATTATATTACTTAGGTCAAAAATCATTTTAGGGAAACTAGATTTGGTAATGTATGTTTATTCATAGGACACTTGTGAGGCTGAGACAGATTGACAGAATGCTCCAGAACAAACTGAGATGCATAGTATGACTTTACTAAAAACAACAAAAGCTAAATTTCTTTTTTGCAGGGGAGGGCAGGAGGGCACTCAAGACAGGGTTTCTCTGTGTGTAGCCCTGGCCATCCTGGAACTCTGTAGACCAGGCTGGCCTCAAACTCAGAGTTCTGCCTGCCTCTGCCTCCCAAGTGCTGGGATTAAAGACATGCACCACCATCCCATGGCTAAAAGCTAAATTTCTTAAAAGAAACAAACAAGGGAGCTGGAGAAATGGCTCAGAGGTTAAGAGCACTGATTGTTCTTCCAGAGGTCCTGAGTTCAATTCCCAGCAACCACATGGTGGCTCACAACGACCTGTAATGAAATCTGGTGCCATCTTCTGGCATGCAGGCATACACACAGACAGAACACTGTAAACAAAATAAATAAATCTTAAAAAAAAGAAACAAACAAAAAATCATTATAGTTTCCTAGGATGCTTCTGATCTTTCTGATCATATTCCTATTTGGATGTCATACATGAGCAATTGTGTGAGCAACAGAATATGCATTGTTTCTGTATGGATGAAAGTGAAATGACACACTCATGCCTCTACATTAATAAGTTAATTTTATGAGAAATTCACCAACAATGTTTCAACTTAATAAATTTATTTTACCACAGGATATTAAACTGAAGCTATCAATCCTTTTGTTTGAAAGCTATTAACTCATTAGTATTCATTATATATTTAGTTACAGAATGATCCAGAATTCAAAGACAGAATTAAGGCACAAGCCTTGATATATCCTGGCCTCCAGTTGATTGACACCTTTCTGCCATCATATCAAGACTATAAACATGGTCCAGTTCTGTCCAGGGAGGTGATAATTAAGTTGGCATGCCTATATTTGACTGAAGATGAAGCACTGCCCCAGGCTTTACTGAAGAATGAACACATCCCTGAAGAGTCAAGACACCTGTTCAAGTTTGTCAACTGGAGTGACTTCCTTCCTGAGAAGTATAAAAAGAACCATGTTTACACGGAGCCCATCTTTGGGAAATTGAATGCTTCCTATGTGGCGCTTATGGATCATAGGCTGTTCCCTTTGTTAGCCAATGACTCCCAGTTACAGAGTTTGCCCCAGACCTACATCCTAACTTGTGAACATGACATCATACGAGATGATGGTCTCATTTACGTCACACGGCTTAGAAATGTTGGGGTCCAAGTTACCCATGATCACATGGAGAAAGGAATCCATGGAGCCATGTCATTTACCAGAGCTCCGGTATTTTTATATTCAGGATTAAAAATGAGAGATAAGTATATTAGTTGGCTAGAGGAAAATCTATAAATCAATGATACCTGCAGCTAGGTAGTCAGTAGAGTAACCAGAAAGTTATGTTTTATGATGAATATGAACAGAATGATCCGGCTTTTGGATGAAGCTACATTTGAATTTGAATGAAGGTTACTGTGTATGTTTGAGAGAGTGGCTTTTGTCTTCTCATTCTTAAAACATTGCTAAAATCAGGATATTCACTTTATTATTCCTATTAATTATTATTTGTCAGGAAAAGATGTACTCTGACTATTCAAAAATAGTAGAATAATGTGAAACAATGTGGTGAGATTCAAGGTTGTAACCTCAATGGAATCATGAGGAGGGTGGGTTAGCAAATTACTCTCCAGCATTCTAGAAGCAATAAGGCACACAGATCTCTGTAAGTTGAAGGCCAGGCTGGTCTAGCCCACTCATTGCTATATAGTGGCATGAATTCTTAGAAAAAATCCTTTAAAAGAGTAACTAAAAGAAACCGTGAATGAGGAGAAAGTATGATAAAGCAGGATTGCAAAGACATCTTTTAAGGACTGAGCTTTATACTGTACTTCAACCTTGATTTTTCTAGTCATGTGTTGTCCATACTTTACTCTAGGTAAATTAAGCTAGTTGTTCCTCTCACTAGCTGATTTTCAAGAATTCTTTGTATATTAGAGGGAAAAGGTTAATATTGGAACTGTAAATTATTTCTAAAGCTTAAATATTTGCTTAAACTTTTGTAATATCAAACTTGATTCAATCCCCTTGATGCACAAAGGTACCCAGCCAAATGTAGAGTGCAGGTAGATTTATTCAAAATACTCTTTTGAATTTTTGTAGTGAATTATTGTACACACAGAGGCTGCATATCTGGGGAGTTATCTGAGTGGTGATCTTCAGGCCTGTTTGCTTCCCTGTGATGATGTGACCCATACTCCCATCAGCACAAATAAACTCATAAATATCTGCATTTCTGCTGGGAAGTGGTGAAATCAATGTTTAATGTTCTGGTATCCCAGTGATTCTGCTGCTTGTGCTTTTTCTTAATGTTCAATAAACTTTGTGAAGTGGAAGTTAAGTGTGTCTTGTGGATTTAGCTGGTAACCTGACCTCATCTCCAAACATATTTTCATTAGTTCTTCTCTGCATCTTGAACCTTTTTGTTTATCTCAACCTTGAGCTGCCCACTAATCTCTCAGTTTAATCACATGAGCCTCTTCCCTGACATTCAGACACTAAGTTGTTGCAAGAACGTCAGGAAAGACTGACATTGATCAAGACTAAAGAGTGACTAACATCAGTTTGCTTGTTTCATTTGTACAAGGAAAAGAATATTGGTCATCTTTTATGAAACCAGACTTGATGAGAATTGTTTGTCTTTGTTAACTATTAATCACAAATTGAAGGAAGGTTAGAAGGTCACAAGTAGACAAGAAAAGTCTATGTGGGTTTCCTCAAGTGACAGTTTATTCTTTGAGAAGACATTTGGTTTAAAAAAAATAAAATAAAATAATAAAATAAAATGGGAGATGGGTTGGAAGTAAGTTTCTAAACATAACCAAAAGTGGAAAGGGGAGAACTCAGAGGCTCCATAAAGCTCCTAACCCAGAGCCTGATTAGCAGATTCCCAGCCTAAGATTCCTCCCATGTGGAAGAGTGTGCCTTAAAAACCAACCTGTTACTTTGTTTTCTGTTTCTTGGTCTTATGTCTTTCTGGATTCCATTGATGTCACCTTCATGGAATGAGCTCAGCAAACTCCTAGACAGTTTTTTTTTCTTTTTTTAAACAGTACTTTATATTTAGACAGGATTTGAAAATATCTCTACTCTACATGTGAAAACCCCCTATTTTATTAATAAGCTTGCTTATCACACTTTTGCAGCTTTGACAAAACAAGAACATATAGTTAGAAAACCAGAAGATTAGTGTGATGGCTATTCTTAGTTGTCAACTTGACGACATCAGTAATGAATGGCACACCTGTGAGAGATTTTCTGCTTGCTTTGAAGTGGATTCGTCCATTTCTAATATGGAATTGAGGTAGGAAGACACACAACTTTCATGGGAATATTGAGGCTGGAAGACCCACCTTTAATCTGGGCCCCATCTTCTGCTGGAAGCCTCTACACAGACATGGAAGAAGGAAGCTGTTGCTCTTTGCCTGATTCTTCTTGAATCAGGTTTACTAGTACATCCATTCCTTGACTGGCATTGGAGCCTAGTTCTTTGGAATTCCAGCATACACAGCAGACAAACTGAGATATCCACCTTTGTGAGACTGAGGAACTACTAGATTCTTGGATTTTCTTTTCACAGCTAACCCTTGCTAGATAGCTGAATTGCAGCCTATAAATCATTCCAATAAATCCCCTTTACACGCATAGACACACTACACACACATGCACACATACACACATGCTACACATACACATGCACACACATGTATGTGCATGGAAGTATATTCCTAGGAATTTTAGCAAACCCTACAACATACCATGTGTTAAATGTAAGTGTGACCATTTGCCGCATTCTGTAGGATTTAACAAAACTCAGTCTTTAAGGAAAAGAAAGTTCTTCAGCAACAGTCAGCAGAAGGATTCGGTGCTCTCTGCAGAGAAGCATCTCTATGTGACCCCTTTTAACTGAGACTCCTTAGATCCGACAAAATGTTAAAAGAGATACTTGAAAAAGTTTAAAACTACAAAGAATGGCTTTTGTTGTGTGTTGTAAGAGGCTGCTTGTTCATTCCCAGCTGCTCAGCCCCAAAATAATCACACAGAAAATATATTATTTAAATCACTGCTTGGCCTATTAGCTCTAGATTCTTATTGGCTAGGCCTTACATCCTAAACTAGCTCATCTATACTAATCTGTGTATCATGACGAGCATGAGGCTGTGGCTTAATGAGTAAAGTTCTGGTGTTGCAAGCTTTCTTTCACCATCGATGGAGAAAACAATATATTCTATAACAAAAACAGAGTTAAACAATATGTATCCACAAACCCAGCCTTACACAAAGTACTAGAAGGAAAACCTCAGCCCAGGAAGCTAACAACATCCATAATAACACAGACCTTCACCAACACAACTCAAAGAAGGGAAACACACAAACACTACCACCAAAAAGTAGCTGGAGTTAACAACCACTGGTCATTAATATCGCTAAATATCAATGGACTCAATTCACCCATAAAAAGGCAAAGGTTAGGAGAATGGATATGAAAACAGGATCCAGCATTCTGCTGTTTGCAAGAAACACACCTCAACCTCAAAGACAAACACTACCTCAGAGTAAAGGGTTGGGAAAAGGTTTTCCAATAAAACTGACCTAAGAAGCAAGCGGGTGTGGCTATCCTAATATCTAACAAAACTGATTTCAAACCTGTCAGAATGGCTAAAATCAAAAACATAAATAATAACTTATGCTAGCGAGGATGTGGAGTAAAGGGAACACTTATTCATTGTTGGTAGGAGTGCAAACGTGCAACCATTTTGGAAATTAGTGTAGCAGTTTCTCAGAAAATTGGGAGTCAACTTACCTCAGGATCCAGAAATAACACTCTTGGGAATATATCCAAAAGGTGCTCAATCATTCTACAAAAGTATGTGTTCAACTATGTTTGTAGCAGTATTATTTGTAATAGCCAGAACCTGGAAACAATCTATATGCCCCTCAACTGAAAAATGGATAAAGAAAGTGAAAAACATCTATGACATTAGAGTACTACTCAGTGGTAAAAAACAATAACATCTTGAATTTTCCATGCAAATGGATGGAAGTAGAAAACACTATCCTGAGTGAGACAACCCAGACCAAAAAAAATATGAATATGGCATGTACTCACTCATTAGTGGATTCTAGCAATAAACAAAAAACATTGAACCTTGTTCATGATCCTAGAGAAGCTAAGTAATAAGGTGAACCCAAAGAAAAACATATATAGAGCCACTTGGAAATTGGAAGCAGACAAGGTTGCCAGAAAAAAGTTGGAAGTATGTGGGCAAGAAGGGAGGGTAGAGGAAAGGGAGGAGGGGGAGGGGGAGGGGAGAAGTGGGGGGTTGGGGAGAGCCTAGGGGCGTGGGATGGTTGAGATGGAGGAAGGATGGATATGGGAGCAAAAGAGGAGATATTTTAATTGAGGAAGCCATTTTGGTGTTGACAAGAGGCTTGGCTCTGGAGGGGTTCCCAGGAGTCCATGGTGATAACCCCAGCTAGGACCCTGGGCAGTGGGGGAGAGGGTGCCTGAACTGGCCTTGTTCAGTAGTCAGACTGATGACTATCTTGAACATCACCATAGAGCCTTCATCCTGGAAAGGATGGAGATAGAGATAGAGACCCACATCAGGTCAAAGATGGGTGCTTCAGTGTTGATGAGCAGCTTTAAGTGATTGTCCAGGCAGCCAAATATCTCTGTTGTCAGGTAATATTACATTTTCCTTCTGGGATCTTTGATGGAGTTAAAAACTAAATAATTAGAGTTGTAGTTTTTTTAGTTATGATAGAAAATAAATTAGGTATAAAATGTTGGAATCACTTAGATGAGATAAATAATGCAATATTTTCTCTCAACTTGCTAAATACAAATGGACAAAATATTGTAAAGGTAATTGTTAATTGATAGTTGCCTTTTTTGTATTTAGTTTTACTATATTAAAGTTTAAAACTTTTTGTTTCAATTTAAATGAAAAGGGGAAAATAGTGTGAAATAGTAATTTAAAATGTTTTACTTTTACTTATGTTGTAGAATATTTGTTTAATGATGCAAAGATGTGTTGCAGTATTTTATGCTGCATTTGTTTAGCTCTGTGAAGCTGTGCTATTTTGTCTGCCCAAAGCACCTGATTGGTCTAATAAAGAGCTGAACAACCAATAACTAGGCATATGTACTCCAAAATGCATAATTGTACCCTGCTCTGCTCAGCATATTCTATCCAGGAGCCATATATTTATTCACAAATGCTTGGAAAGAATGACTTTTTCTGATTTTTTTTGTAAGTGTTTATCTTTCAGGCTTTATAGCAGGTAGGGGA